ATCCGTTACCTAGGACTCCACCTGGACAAACGACTCACATGGAATCCTTATACCAGACTGAAACGACAAGAAACCGCTCGACGTTTCCGACTACTCCAATACTTACTAGACAAACGTTCTAAGCTTTCAATCAATTACAAACGACTCATATATATATGACAATAATAAGACCTATTTGGGGCTCCAATAAACCATCGAATTCCTCTTGCATTCAATCACTACAATCCAAAATCCTTCGTAAAATCCTCAATGCTCCCTACTTTGTCACAAATAAAATCATCCATAAAGACCTTAATGTTCCATATGCTTTCGGTTTGGCCCAATCCAGATTCCTATCCTTCCATAACAAACTCCAGAACCATCCGAAGCCTCTCGTTTCAAACCTTGCTTCCTCTTCGATCCCTGGTAACCCTCCGAGGCGTCTGAAAAGAAGATGGCCTCGTGATCTGCTTATGTAAATATATTATTAGAATGCTACCAATGGGTAGTTTTTCAACAAGCGTTCTCATGTGATCGTATTATTACTGTGTGCACATTTACTAGTTGTATTTTTTTTTATAATACAGTTGTAAATATCAATGAATAAAAAAAAAATATGTTTATCAAATAAATAGTACTCAAATCTTTTCTTTGATCAATTTTTAGAAAAATAAATCTTTTTTTTTAGCTTTAATGTTTTATTCACACCTGTCATAATGATAATGACAACCAGTGAATGTGAGATCGATTGATTAATAGAATTGTCATGAAAGGCATGAGGAGGATCAGTGCCCAGCGGCACCTCACTCGGCGTGATATCCACATTAGGCGAGGAGGTCCCTCATCCAGCTCCTCTTCAGTCTCCTACAGACGTTACCGGGCATATTCGTAGTGGCCATGTCATTTATAAGTGTATTAGTATGTCCTTGTAAGTTGTCATGGAATCGTTTGTAATGAATAGTATGTGTTCGTTAACAGTCGGCATATGGAGGTCAGTATGTAAGGTTATGTTACTAACGTACCAAGGTGCTTTTGTAATTGTTCTGAATGTTTTTGCTTGAAAGATTTGAAGTTTGTTTAAGTGAGTCTTTTTAGCAGTTCCAAATATCTGTGATGCGTAAGTCCAAATAGGTTTTAGTAAGTAATTGTATGTGTTCAATTTCTGTCTAAGTTTTAGTTTTGAATTTTTTGAAAGAAGTGAACTCAGAATTCTTAATCTTTGATTTAAAGTTTTTTCGTTTTTTGATTATATGTGGGCCCCACGTCATTTTTCTGTCAAATGTCAGACCAAGGTAGTGAACGGTGTCTGTCTGTGGAATCTGTGTATCGTCAAGGAAAACTGGAGGGCATGTTTCATGTCGAAGCGTAAATGTGATGTGCTGTGATTTGTCTTGATTTAGTCGGATTTTCCAAATTTTGAACCAGTCATGTAATCTTGTTAAATACTGTTGTAGGGTCTGTGAGGCGTATGTTGGATTTTTGTGTCTTGCTAAAATTGCTGTGTCGTCTGCATATGTCGCTGTTAAAATGTTGGGACTACAAGGTATGTCATGGGTGTATGTGATATAGAGTAGTGGAGCGAGTACTGAACCTTGAGGTACTCCTGCTGAGATAGACCTGATGGAAGATAGTTCTGACCCGTGTCGGACCGAGAAAAATCTATCGGAAAGGAAGGATTGTAGAATTAGATAATATGTAGGTGGGAGTATTGTCTTGAGTTTAAAGAGAAGACCCTGGTGCCAAACTCTGTCAAACGCTTGAGCAACATCCAGAAATACGCCAGTTGCATATACTTTCTGCTCTAGTGCTGTAGATATGTAGTCCGTTACTCTATGTAGTTGGTGTATAGTTGAGTGATGTGCCCTAAATCCAAATTGATGGTCAGGTATTATTTGGGTGTTTGTTAGTATATCAACAAGTCTTTTGTTCAGTAAGCTTTCAAAAATTTTGGAACAGATAGGTAGTAAGCTGATTGGTCGGTATGAGGAAGGTGAGTTTTTGTCCTTTTTAGGCTTGTGAATCATTATTATATGTGAGTATTTCCACTGTAGGGGAAATTTAGTTGTCCTCAGTATTGCATTATAAATAGTTGTCAAAAGCACTAGAGCTTTTCTAGGCATTTGTTGGAGCACTTCAGCGTTAATCAAGTCATGTCCAGGAGCTTTTCTTTTAGGCAACTTTTTGATTTGTTCAGCAATCTGTGAAGGTGTGAATGAAATAGGAGGTGAAGTTAGTTGTAAGGGCATGTCTAAAGTGTTTAGTACGTTGTTATCGTGCACAGTGTTAGTGAAGTCTGTGTGTGGTACAAAAACAGAAGAAAGATATTCGGCAAAGAGTTCTGATTTTTCTCCGTCCGTCACGGCCCAGGAATCAAGAAAAATAAATCTAATTCAATTTCTTGATGACAGATGTAAAGATATAAATATTTTTTTGAACTAGGTAGGAAAGTCGTATGAGTGGACACACCAGATTTTTTAATTGTGTGCTGAAAATCAGACCAATGATTATAGAAACTTTTTTGTAACTATTTAGGTCTGCTATCATTTCTATAAATATTTCTCTCTGGTTACGTGACGACACCTTGCATACAAACTTCTGTTTTGACCTCTATGGAATTTTTCTGCCGAGTGTAACAAAGACATGTTAATTTTTTTTAACTCTTAAAGGAGATGTTTCCTGCCTTGTTGTGCCAGTGACAATAAGATCACTAATTAAGCTGCACTCTTCCACAAATTAGTGTCTCCTTTTGTTCTCGACTTCAAAGCATCACGCTAGGCAAACCATTACGTTCACACAAAAAGGAGCAGAATAATCGATCAAGTTAACAGAGGCCTAGATTCCAAAGAGCTCAAAGAGAGGCTAAGGTCGTAATCCATATCAGCCAATGGGATGACAGCTGATCGATAGGGGACTTTATCTTTTAGTTTGTGTGCCCATTCAGGAACGACCCTTTCTCGAAAGGTCAACCACTTTACTCCATGTTTACACTCAAATGTTTATACCTGTTGCATTGTCAAGGGCGTACGAGAAAAACTTACTGAAAGTTATTATATCTAATTACTTTTCTATTTTAGGAAAACTTCTAGAAAGTATTGTGATCGTAAAAAAATTCGTATCTAAGATTTCATCGGAAATTCTTCTCTAGGTATTATGTTTCTAAAAAATATGAGTATGTGAACATTTTCGAACACGGAAAGTCGTACGAAGTTTAAAGTATTCTTTCATCAAAATTGATCAACCAGAAATAGTCCTCCATAGTATCGATGTTTCATATTTTATAACTTTCTCGAAAGCGACTCTGACGATTTTGTGAGCGATCTCATCGCTCTAAAGATGTTCAAATTATTCTTGTCGATTTAAAATTAAAAGATCTTTAATAACAGGTGAGTCTTTTGTCATTTATATATTCTAATGGGACTATAATATCGAATTTTAAAGTTTCATCCTCAAAAGAAAGTACAATTAATTTTGTTTATTAGAAATAACCAAAGTATTGTCATTGTTATAAGTAATACAAAATACATAAATAAAAAAAAACTATGAAATGAATTTGATAATCACCTCAGCAAAAAGAATTGAAGAAATATTTTCACAGGATGAAAATAAAATTCCAAAAATAAGAGTAGTAATATTGATGTGTGATATACATCATCAGCTAAAGCTTTTAGATAATTGAATATCTGACATATTAATTTTTTTGAAGTTGTTGATTATTGTTGATTATTTTCAATTGTTGTAGTATATAATGTAAGAATATCTTTTGAAAATTCTACTGCACGAAAAAAATTAAACAGGAATAAAAAATATACATTAAGCTTTGAAACAAAAAAATTATAGATTCAACTTAATCAACTGAATCTGATTTTGTATAACTCTTTTATAGTTTCGGTTTGGATGGGTCTCTTTGGCTTATTTTTACTTTCACTTACGTATATATGTAATATATAGTAAGAGTAAGTATTGAGATCGAGAAAATTTTTGAATCTGAGTTTTCAACGGTAATACACGTTTTGAGTTACCCTGAGTCGAAATGACCAAGTCCCGAAAAATGGCCTGTATGTCTGTGTGTTTGCATGTTAGCAGTCTAGCTCAAAAACGAAAAGTCGTACGAAACTGATATTACGTATTTAAGATAGGTATATGTCTTAGATGTGACAGCAACTTTTTCCTCAAAATCGGGTAACCGGAAGTGCCACTTTATATCAACGCTGAAACATATTTTTATAATTTTCTCAAAAACGGCTCTAACGATTTTGATTAAACTCGCTGTATCAATGTATAATGAAGTAATCTTTAATACCAATTAGGTCTTATCCTCATTGATGTCACTTTACAGGGCTTAAATGCCCAATGTTCATATATGTCTTCCTCTAAAGTACCTTTAATGAGTTACGAAAAAATGTTAAATATAACTTTTGAAAGAATTTGATAAGTTAATAAAGGAGAAAAAAAAATAAAATGCAGAAAATCCTGAGTTGCTATAGACTATAGCGCCTAAACGAATGTATCGATTTCAATGAAACTTCGCTAAAGTCATTTGGATCTAAAGCAAATGGAGTTACTAAATTTTTATTGCCAACCGTCGATATATTAAATAGACATTTTGCAATTATAATGGTATTAATGACTTGTTATCTGTAAGCTTTAAGCTTTAGCTCCGTTTAAAATGCATTTCAAAAAATGTTATAATAGATCAGCATTGCCAAAAAATAATTTCTATTCAAAGTAGAGCGGTAAGCGAAAGTTGAATATTGCGCTCACCAGATTTTTCATAATGTTTAGGATTTCATGATCTTGAAATCCATTTAATCTATATATTTTAATAACGTTTGTTTATGTCATAAAAATTAAAATAAAATGTAAAATAATAGTTGATGTTCCAAAGGATAAAAAATATTCTTACATTACAAACCTCTATGGACTATTAAAGCAAGCTGGCCTTGGCCTTATGTATGCCTAAGCCTAATTTTATATAATTATTTAATAATTTCATTAATTTTGAATTTTGTTCTTTGTTTCAGTTCTTACAATGACATTCTATCCAGCAGTGCGGATTCCAAATCGGATCCTTACTCACCGGAAGACAATATCAACGTAGTAGTGAGGTAAGCTGTCAGATAATTCATATATTTATTTGTTTACATATACATTATACTGAACTATTTGAAATAATCTTTCGTAACTTAAAAACATAATCTCCATTTTGGATACTTGATAAATTTTGTATAAGGGCAATCTTCTATTTCTAACGTTCGATCATGATCGATCCGTTTACTGTTCCATTATTGATAAGGTAAACGTCAGAAATGGGGAGCGTCCTGTATCTATAATTTATTAACCACTAACGAGCAACGTTATTTTACAGAGTGAGGCCGCTATGTTCGAGGGAAGAAAAATCCAACGATGGATCGGCAGTCGATTTCCCAGGAAACGGTCAGATATTGGTACGTATAGAGTATATAGTATTTATACATACATATATATATATATATATATATATATATATATTCACACACACATAAGCTGTATTGAATATTTAATAGTTGACCGTTGCATTATGAAGGAAGGAGATGGTCCGGGGTGGCGGTCATAAATAGGCTAAATAGTGGTAAAACTATTTTTACAAAAAGGCAACGTTTCGACCCGACTTTGCAGGTCTTCTTCAGGGCTAGAACGGACAAGATACAAAAATATATAGAATTGTGGAAGTTACATAATATTTAGACAAAAAATTATAAACAATGTGAATAAGCTTATTAAAATTATAAACAGTAAGTACATTAAAATATGAATAGAGTAAGATAAGTAACAAGATCCTAAACTGAAGTAAATAGAAGCTAACAATTGTTGTAGTGTAGTATATAATAAATGCAAATGTGAATATACTTCTACAGATCTAAAGGAGAGATTGAAAGAAAAGGAAAATGATATAATATAAAATGATAGACATAAAGGAATGTGGAAAAGAAAACCAAAAAATTAAATGAATAAGTAAATAGAATTAGAAGAATAAAATTAGAGACTAACAGGTGTGTTCAGCTAGAAGTTTCACTTAGAACTGGAAAACCAGAGTAAGGGCATATATTGGAGAAGCTGACTTGTTTGGGTAATGGGGAAAAACCTAGAAAATTACAGTCTCTAAAATTATATGGATGGATACAAGGGAAAAATACTATATCTAAATATAAAGATAAAGCGGGCTATATCTTATATGGATCTATATCTTACGGACAATACATTTGTTGTATAATTTTATATAATAAATGAAAATCAAGCAAAAAACAAAGAAAAACGGAAAATAAAAAAAGTATCTCAAATACTGTTTATTTTTTAAATATTATTTTTAACTTCGTTTTCTTTTATTATTTTTTTATATTTGAACTATAAAATGAAACTTTATTCGAAAATTGGCGATTTTTATATTCGGCCCCCTCTCCCTGAGATATTCTTTCGTTTTTGAGTATTGTTTTGTAATTTACTTACGGCCCCTTTCGGCTATACGTGGTTTTCCATTGATAAAGGAGATTTTAATTCACATTTTACCTAAAGCTGGTTTTAAAAATTTCAAAAATACAAGAAGAAACAGGATAATTAGGCATTTCTGTGTGCCCTAAACATAGGGAACGACGGGAATTGCATTTGTCAAAATAAAATTAAATTAAGCGTACAATTCTTCAAAGGAGACGTATAAAGAAAATCCATTTAAATCGTACTAGAGACTATTAAATTCAACATGCCTCCCTAATGTAGATGGCGCAAGAACCTACCCTCCTCCCTTCCACCCAAGATATTTTATTGCTCACATTTCCTTAAAAACAGAGCAAGCTAAGGTAGATTTTAAAAAATTGTAGATCATATACAATTACACTTGCTGTGGTATGTTCCATGTTTTTACTCTCGTCCCTTAGTCCGAAAATTTATAACATCGTCGAAATTTGACCCTCACAAAAATTCAAAACCCATTAGAATATGCTCCCCTCATAAATTTTGATGGCACCATGAAATCCCTTTTTGGGCACCACTGTCTCAAGAAACACAAACAGTAAACAAATGTCTAAAAGTGACTCAAGCGTTCACTTTAAGCTCTCATGAAAAACAGAGAACCGATGAAAAGGCGCAAACAAAAAATAAAACCAAATGATAATATTTATTTTTACATATGCCGACGTTTCGATCTGAAGTTCAGGCCTCCATCAGGGCTAAGAAAATAACCAGATAACAAGGTATGAGATACATTAGTAGTGATGGTAAAAAAAAAATATAATAATAATAAAAAATTAAAATTAAAAAATTAAAATTAAAAAAAAAAATAAATAAATATAAAGTAAATTCGAAATTGTTAGAATAATGACTAAGAACTAAGAGATAAATAATAATAACCGTTACAAAGTGTGGAATGATGAAGTAGGCATAATCAAAAAGGGTGACATAAGTGTTACAACGGGAATCTTAGAATAAAATGTAAAACATAAAAAAGAAATACGAAGTTATATAAGAAATGAAAATAAATAATAAAATTAAAACATTGAGAATGGAGTAGTTAGATAGAAAATTGACATAAACATTCTCAATGTTTTAATTTTACTATTTATTTTCATTTCTTATATAACTTCGTATTTCTTTTTTATGTTTTACATTTCATTCTAAGATTCCCATTGTAACACTTATGTCACCCTTTTTGATTATGCCTACTTCTCATTCCACACTTTGTAACGGTTATTATTATTTATCTCTTAGTTCTTAGTCATTATTCTAACAATTTCATTTTACTTTATATTTATTTATTTTATTTTTTTAATTTTAATTTTAATTTTTTATTATTATTTTTTTTTTTACCATCACTACTTATGTATCTCACACCTTGTTATCTGGTTCTTTTCTTAGCCCTGATGAAGGCCTGAACTTCAGGTCGAAACGTCGGCATATGTCAAAACAGATATTATCATTTATTTTTGTCTTCCTTTTTGACTGACCACCCCAACTATTCTTCTCTTCATTATCCACGACAGTCAACCAATTACCAATTTAAAAAATAAAACCTTTGTCTAGAATAAAAACTTGTTTAGTCATTAGTGTTTCCGATAGTTTGTTAAATGTCTATACGTTACCTTAATAACCTATCTATTTTATCCATGCCAACTAGATCATACAATAATTAAACTTTAACACTAATTATAAGTACTTAATACATTAAACGATATTTTATAAATACGTTTTAGTATTTAATGAACAAAAGATAGCGTGTACATATACAGTGTAGGTATATGCAAATTGTGCAATGTTGTTTTACTAGAATTATTAATGAGGAATAAAAAAAATATATTTTCAAGAGATATCACCCCTCAAACATGAATTTCCCGAGAAATCTGTGCTCCACGCTATGGGGAAGTGTTTCCACGAATATACATAAATTAATATTATTAGCCATAGATGTTGCAGATCAAGTTCACGGTCAGAAATTTCCATCGCCGGTGTAAGGTTCAATGGAGCCTGGATTTGCATAAGATGACTCACGCCTTCGTGAGCTACCATCGTTACTCAAGGGCCGACCTTGAGATATAGAGTAGATTATAGGACTTAACTATTCGTCATCCCGGCAGTAACCCTTCTATAATCAGTCATTTTGGGATATTTATTATTTCAGATTACCAACGCAGTGATTTTGATTTATTATTTTCAATAATAAACCATTGTGATCGAGCAAAAAATTCAAAAACTTAACCCCCTCTCAAAATTTGAGGTTTTACGTTTCAGGAGGCGTAGAATTCGAAAAACGAATAAAAATTTGTTTGTCCGTCCACGCATTTTCTCGGAAACTACTGGACCTACTTTTTTCAAATTTGGATATAAAATTACTTTCAATAGGACGGCCGAAAAACAGGCATTGCTATAGACTGTAGCGCCTAAACGAATGTACCGATCTCAATGAAACTTCGCTAAAGTCTTATTCTCTATCCCCTTTAAATTCATCTATATTACATACTCCAACGAAAAGAAGCTGGAAAAAAGTTGCAAGGGATGGTAAAATTAGATTCTGAATAACTCAAAAAGTATACATTTTTTATCGATATTTTAATGGTTATTTGTAAAAGTTTACGGAATTTACTAAAAAAACAAAAAAAATGTTAAAATTGGACAATTAGGAGCAAAGATATGGTCTCTAGATGTTTTTTTTATTTCTAACTGCAAAGACTATACCCATGTTTTGGTTTTTGGTTTTTGAATGTAGTACTGAAGTAATGCTAGTTTTTTAGGGAAAGTAGAATTCGAAAAAGGAATACGAATTTTTTTGTCCGTCCGCACATTTTCTCCGTAACTACTGGACCGATTTTTTTTTCTTCAAATTTGGATATAAAATCAGAGCTCACTCGAGGATGATCCTCCTTTATCCTCAAATGGTTTTTTAAAAGTTTACGGTAATTCCTTTAAAAAAAATCATTAAAATTGGACAATTAGGAGCAAAAGATATGGCCTCTAGTGTTTTTTTTTTATGTCCTACTGCAAAGGTTATATCCTTTATTTTGGTTTTTGAATTTTGAATGTATTACTGAAGTAATGCTAATTTTTTTAGCATATTACTAATGATTAAAAAAAAAAGTTTAGTACAATAATTGGAATCGCTTTTTATTTATTTTTCTTTGTAACTAGGAAGGTAATGTTACTTTAGAAGTGTAATTTTTGGAAATAATAAACCATTAAGAAATAATTTGCAGCGGTTTTGTTTTTTAGAGTTATGACAAACGATACCTGTGACACAAATTGGGTGTTTCTTAAGTAAGCTGTAAGCTGTAAGAAAACACATGTTTTTCTGTAGACTATTGCGCAAAACGGCTCTAACAATTTTGATAAAACTTTCCTTAATTTTCTACTTAATGTCCTTTGAATTTTCGTGGGTTTAGTAAATTTACGAAGAAATTGAGGAACAAAGTTATAAAGTAAAAAAAAATATTTTGGGCCTTCCTCGCAAAGTATATATTCTATGGTAAAATTTATATAAATTCTTTTGAAAGGTAATTAAATTATCTACAAAACAAAAGAAATTATGTCGGAATCGAACCAGTATTAGCGAAAATACAGAGGATTCTATTGAATCCTAAGGAAAGTATTGCTGATCGGGTCAAATTTCCGATAAACGTTTTCAAGTGATCTCCACGTTTCAGAACCCTCCGAGTCCGAAATTTTATTTTTTTATTTTTTGAAGAATGCAATCTGAATCTAGTGACGAAGTTCAAATTCTCTCGGAATTTTTTTTTTTTTTTGTTCTCTCTTTCTTTTGTGATCTCTTATTGATTATTTCTTCCTCTTTGTCCTACTTTGTATGTTTCTATTTTTATTTCATCTTTTTAATGGATGCTAGTTTTCATCCTCACATTGTTAACCATAATATTATTCTTGTATGAATGAATGGATGAATGAAAAATTAATTTTATTCTGGGACTACTGTCCCCTAAGAATAATAACAGAGTTATAAATTTATAGGTCTTAGTCTGACATAATAATAAAAATACAAACTAATTTACTGTTAATTGTTATTTCAATTGTGCAATAGATTGAGATTAAACAGTGTACAGATGCAAGTAATTTTACATGTTAGGGGAAGTTTGAATGTGGAGTAGGTGTTGGAACAGGAGTTGTTTGAAGGAATTTGTGGATGAGGATTGACGCATGGAAGTAGGAAGTGAGTTCCATAAAGAAGCAGCACGAATTATGAAGGATTTGCTGAAGGAGGAAGTTTTATGGGAGGGAATATAAGTCTATGGGTTGAGACCTAGTATTGAGAGAGTGAATAGAGGAGCGTAGAGTAAGGAGTTCCAGGTTGTAGGGAGAGTTTTTGGTTCTCAAGACTTGGAAAAAGAAAAAGCCAAGGACGAATTGTCGTCGGGAAGTAGGATAAAGCCAATTCAACTCGGTGTACCAGAGTGAAGCATGTAAACGCCTGGGGATCCCGAAAATGTATCTTATGAAACAATATATCTTATGTATGTTGTTTTTTTCAACCCAAAGGAGGGTCTCTAACTTAGAACGAAACGTCGAAACACAGCAAACAACTTAATTAACCTATAATCATCTCTTCGCCTTCATCAATGATAAACTGCATCTTCATTATATTATTATATTAACTACATTTTTTAAAATATCATTTATATATAAATTTACTTTTACTCCCTCAGCTGACCGGACTGAGCGATGTTCCTGGAATGAAAGGAACGAAAACGAAAGTATTCTCTTACAACGTGGTATTTGAACCTGGAGCGACGCAGGAAGATGTCCTCCAATATTCGGGTATCACGAGGCTGATCGAGATGGCCGTGGAAGGCTTCTGTGCCACGGCCTTCTGCTACGGCCAGACAGGAAGTGGGAAGACACACACCCTAACAGGCCCTCCAAATCTGGTATGTTTTTTATTATATGCGTGTTTTACAGCATTTTTACATTATTTATTGACGAAGTCCACTGCAAATTATGTATTTTTATGCATTTTATGAATTAGGTTGAGAAGAAAGAGGAGAGAATCTAGAGAATGAGACTAATGTATAAGGGGAGAGAAGGAATAGAAAGGGGAGAGAGAGAATCACTTTATTATCATAAAAGGGTGCTGCCCAATTACATTGGGCTGCTAACAACACAGCATACTTATTAATCACTACAGACAATATTTAAAATTATTATACAATTATATAGGATTAACAATATGTATGAGCATAGTATACAATATTTTTTTTCTTTTTTCTTTTTACTATTTCTTTCATTCATTTATTATCATTCTGTACCCTTTCTCTTCCTTTTCTCCCCCTATACATATTCTCTCCTCTCTCTTTCTAACCTAATATATAAAAAACACATAAAATATAGTGGACGTGTTCAATAAATAATAATATAAAAATGCTATAATAATAATATATAAATATGCTATATGATAATGCTAATAAATGAATGAAAGAAACAGTAAAAAAAAATATATATATATATATATATATATATATATATATATATATATATATATATAAAAATATATTAAAAAATATATATATATAGAAAAAAAAAATTGTATACTATGCTCATATATATTGTTAATGCTACATAATTGTATATTAGTTTTGGAAAATTGTCTGTAGCGATTAATAAGTATGCTGTGTTTAAAGCAACCCAATGTAATTGGGCAGCACCCTTTTATGATAATAAAGTGATTCTCTCTCTATTATTTTAAGTTATTTACTAATTTTTTACGTATTACTTGTGAAGTTTGTAAACTCATCACTGAGCTCATCGATGACATTGGAAATCTATCATACCGTACTTAAACTCATGGATGGGAGCATACGTTAAGTTGGTGAATGACATTCGTTGTAATTTAAAATCAGAACATTATTAGAGTATAATTAAAGTGGTTGGTTTAAATCATCATTTTTTTTTTTTTTTTTTATTCTTCCCTACCTCGTATCTTTTAGGCTATACGGGATTTCCCTGGGCCGGAGGGTGAGGGCGGGGAATTTAAAATTCCCTCCGGCACCAGGATGCGAACTCATACTTTTTTAATCTTCTCAAATCTTTTATCTGGTTGCTTGGCAACTCGCGGTGCAGTGCACACGCTTTAGCCCATTCGGCCACCCCGCCCCTAGGTTTAAATCATTCATTGGAACAAATATGAATCGATTAATAGATAAAAAAAAATATTCTTTTTAGCTGGGGCTCAGCCCGGAAGTACTCCTCCCTCCCCCTTGAAACCGCAAGTGGTTTATAGTGGTAGTTTTCTTTTGATAACTAAAAAAAAAAAATCTGGTGCACGCAACACACAACTTTCACCTACCGCTCTACTTTGAATAGAAATTATTTTCTGGGCTAATTAAAATTTTAACTATTAAATTTTAATAAGTGCATCTTAAACGGAGCTAAACCTTAAAGTCTCCCAAAATATTTTTGGCCTTATATGAAACGGAACAAGTTGAATAATTATTATGGTAACAAATCGGCAATAAGAATATTTATAATTATATAATAATATAAATTGGTAATAAGGCGCGATGTATAATATAGATTTTTAAATAATGTAGAATTTTTTGCCGAACTGTGAGTTTATTTTATTTTGATAAAAAATAATACAATTTGAGCAACGAGTAATACAATTAAATGAACAGTTGTATAATTGGTACAATGGGGGTTGGTCCGCCGTTAGGCGAACAGGGGATAGTCTCGTAGTATTATAATAAATCTCAATTTCACATAATATTTGGGTCATTCATTCTGGGAAAATTTTACTTCTATGATCTATAATTATCAAAACTTCATAGCTCGATATTGTCAAGTCGCAACTTTGCGAACTGTCTCCTCTCATAACGTGAAATGATTGATTTTATCCCATCACTATCAAATTCCATCGCGTGTCCAAGGTCGGGTAAATAATGAATATACTAAACGCCCTAATCATTCGTTCGGTGAAAATTCAAAAAGTTGAAAAGGACTCTTATAAACGTCATTAATTAGCAATGTTTTAGCATGTTGAACCTTGTGCGACTCTTTGCTCTACGGATTCAATATTTTACAGTTCAAAGGGAAGAAGGTAAACATCAATTCGCCCGACCACGGCCTCATCTTCAGGTCCTTCCTGTATCTCTTCAGGCTTCTCCAAGACAGGAGCAACGTCCATTTTGTCCTCAAGGCTTCCTTCCTAGAAATATACAACGAAAAAGTAAGTATTATACACACTGAAATATAATAAAGACTTGTTGTTATCAAATTATTAACGTACGCCAAAAAACTTTGAGAATAACTTATATGAACGATTTAAATCGATTGTTATACTTGAACCATGTCTACTGGGCACCTACTTCAACCAAGTAGAATTACTTATTTTGAATGAACGAATGAATGAAAATACTGTATTTTGTAATTAATATATACAATTACAGGGGGTATGGCTCCATTAAATACATTATTACACAAAAAGAATCAAAATAAAGTACAATACAAATATAGAAATAAATATCCTTTTTTCATAAATAAGATAAACTACAGTCCACTTGTGTTCCTGCAGTTTCCTAGGCCATATCCTCTATACAGTTTATACAGCTGACATCCCTACCTAACCCAACACTGTCATCACCACATATGCCGATGACACATGTATCCTATCAGTAAATAATGACCCAGCAATTGCATCCCAAACTCTTCAATCACACTTCACAAGTCTTGAAGAATGGTGTCAAAACTGGAGAATTAAAATAAACTCCAATAAATCCCACCAAATTACCTTTACCCTTCGTCGTAAACCAACAACTTCCTGTCCTGCAGTTTCCTTTAACAATACTCCACTTATCCCTGTTGAGCAAATCCGATACCTAGGACTCCACCTGGACAAACGACTAAGTTGGAATCCTCATACTAGACTGAAACGACAAGAAACCGCTCGACGTTTCCGATTACTTCAGCACTTACTATACAAACGTTCTAATCTTCCAATTAATTACAAAAGACTCATATACTTGACTATAATAAGGCCTATTTGGACTTACGGAGATGAGCTATGGGGCTCAACCATCGAATTCCTCTCGTATCCAATCCTTACAATCCAAAATCCTTCGTAAAATCCTCAATGCTCCCTACTTTGTTACAAATAAAACCATCCATAATGACCTTAATGTTCCTTTTGTTTCAGATCTGGCCCAATCCAGATACCTATCCTTCTATAATAAACTTCACAATCATCCCAACCCTCTTGTTTCTAACCTTGCTTCCTCTTCAATTCCTGATAACCCTCCGAGGTGTCTGAAAAGAAGATGGCCCCTTGATCTCCTAATGTAAACATATCATTAAAGTGCTACCATAGGGTAGTTACTCAGCAAGTGTTTTTCATGTCATTATATACATTATGTCCTAATTTACTGGATGTATTTATTTAATACAGTTGTAAATGTCTTTAAGAAATAAAAAAAAAAAAAAGATAAACTAGATATATAAATTGTGATATAAATTAAACAAACAACTAAAACAGAAAAGGGAAAACAACTGTATAACAATATAAATAAAAAGTATTGACTTTGAAGATATATAAAAAAATAATTAAAAAAACAAACATTAAAGGAATTTTAAAAATAGCAATAATATATTCCCAAAATACAATGTGGCAGATTGCAATAGTACATATGCTCACTTCTTAGTCGAAGATAACAATTTCTTGTGGTAAACATAAATATTGTGGTAGACATAAATATTGTTGGCATTTAATCATTCATAATGAATGATCTTATTTTAAGACTCCCTCATTAACAAATTACCGAGCATTGAATTGTTGTCTTCTGTAATATATTTCTTTATGCAATGTTTCCTCAAGTCTTGCAAATGGAGTGATTTTCAAATCTATTTATAATGTCTTTGAGGTATAGGTGAGTAATTTCAGTATTAGGGTCATTATTGTGTCCCAAAATTGAATCTGAACCTACTTTTAATAATTTTTCTTTTAGCTGAGAGTACCAATTAAAAAACCATATTGCGATTATTGTCCAATTTCTTCAATCTATTGTAGCAAATCCGTGGGATTCTATTTTCAGATATTTTTAGTAGAGTTATCGACCCTCTCTACATTCTTTTGACAACTTCAACTTCCATAATTGTTTCTTATTGAAGGTCTAAAATATTATTAAAATTTATTTAAATAAAAATTTTATTTGGTGTTTTTTAAAGACATCCTCAATGTTTTCCTAATTACCGTTTTAATGTTTTTTTTTCAAATTCTTATTTTCATATAATAAAATAACTTGATTTTATTAATTAATTCTTAATATTGCCAATAAATAAATAAAATATGACTACAAAATAATTATATTTTTTAGAAGAAATGGGCTTCACGGAATTTAAATAAATACAGATAAAAATATATAAAATAATGGAGATTAATAGGCTTAGAGATAAATAAAAATTAATATTTGTATTAATACATATTTACATATACTAGTGTTCGTCCAGTGGTCGAAATTCGACTACAGCCATTAAAATTTGAGGAAAACATAATTAAATTAAAAATAAATTAAATAAATAAAGAGTAAATCACGATTCAAAAATCCTCATTTATTAATATAAACAAAATTTTAATTTCAATTAAAAATCGAGCTTAAACTACCTAAAATTATTTATAAGTAATACAAAATAGACTCATTCAAAATATTTAATTTCCATTTTAATTTATGTTTGTTATTATCACAATGAATTAATGTTATGACTAAGCAAGTAAAAAAAAATTTAAATTAGCAATTTCTTCTGAATTTAAATCCATTTTTATGCAGAAATTCTCTGAAAATAATGTTATGTTATTGTTTAGTAAATAGCCTTGACCATTGCCATTGAAAATATAAATTTCAAAATTTTAATTTTAATTTTAAAGTGCTCTACTTGCTGCTACATATAACTGTCCATGCGAAATTACTGGACGTCGCAATAATAAACTATTTTTTTCAAATGTTTGACCCTGCGATTTGATTATGGTCATAACAAATGCACCTATTAATAAGAACTTTTAACAAGAAATTTTGTAGGGAATTCAGGAAGCTTTCAAATAAATATTTAAATTTTGAGTTATTCGCAAATAAAATACTGAATTCACAATAAAAATGTATGCAGCTTGTTTTCGGAGAAGTAATATATAAATAAATTAAATATACATAAATTATAAAGGTTTCAAGGGGAAGATTTTAGCCAAGTTTCATTGAATTCGTTGAAGCCATATTGGCGCTACAGTCTGAATTGAATCACGTTTTTCGGCCGCCATTTCGAAAGGAAATGCCTGATGATAATGAAACGTATACAAAGAAAAACTTCTAAATATTATTGCCACATTGTGTCAACATTTAAAAGAAATCGGTGAAGAACTTTTGGAGATTAGCTGTTTTGAACAAACTACCATTTATATTTTTATTCACATACTGTGTCATATTTTTATTTATTTATAACACTAAAGCTCGTCAATAGCTATTAAAGAAAAAAAGAAGAAAGAAAATTGGTTGAATAATAGAGGAGTAAAAGGGGCTGAAGCGTTTTGTGTTTGACTATTTATATAATGATGTTGTTATTATCTATATAATATCCTATATATTATTTCTAAAAGGTGTTTTTTTGTCGGTACCCCATAACTTCGTCAATTCTTCATCAAATCCAATCATTGTCCACTCATTTTAAAGATATTCTTCTCCTTCACACGCGAAAAATAGTCCTATCCCTTCGAAATTTCTGGAAAAAAAGTTATTAAGAAAAAGAAACTTTATTTTCGAATAACTCAAAAAGTGAACATTTTTTTCTTGATTGTACCTATGATAATTAGAAAGGTTACTACTAAATTACATACAAAAAAAATCTATTAGAAATTTGTAAAATTTATAAAAATCGGAAAATTATTAAAAAAGATACAGTCCACTAGTTTTGGTATAATTAATAATTTCTTCCTGTTTAATGATATTGCATTTAGGAGTAGAATAGTCTACTACACCTTTTTTCCTGGCTGATATATTAACTTTAATAGTTCTTAAAAGCATTTGGTTGTTCTTTCAATTTTATTAAATTTAAAATTTGTAGGTTGCGATAAAATGAAGCCATTCTCCAAGTTTTAGGTGGATGTTAATAGTGTGGTAAAAAGGAATCTATACCACGAACTATTTCTTACTTTCTTGAAATATAGGTTGAATATTCTAAAACTTAACTTCAAAGACCTCATATATCAATAAAACCAAATAAGAACTATCGTCTATTGAAAGTGGGTACCCAAATACGTAAAGCAAAAAAATAAACACCCTCAGATACCAAAAAACTTAGTCTAAGTCAGGAGGAGTAGACAAAATTAAAAATCCACGTTATTTTTCTTACTATAACGAATTTTTCAAATATCAAAGTAACAGCAATTTTACAAAAATTATAATTCGTGACTTTGTTGTGAATTCAGCTTCAGTTTGAGTCCATACAGAACTCTCTAGGTTCCATAGTTAAGGAGAAACGGTATTTTAAAAAAATAATACACGTTTTTCTTTTAATAAAAAAGTGATAAATAAAATTCCATTAGAATTAAGTCATTATTAATTGGTACATAGTAAAATTAATAAAAGTTTCTTACACAAGAAGTAGTCATAGTTAAAATAATTTTAAGTAGTTTTAACACGACTATATGATGAAGTTCAGTTTCATTTCTGTTTGTTTGATAATAGTTATTGGATTAAAATATAAATATGATAACATATCGGATCGAATTAATTTTTTAATAACATTTCGCCATTTAGGAAGATATGAACGACCCTAAAGTATACCTTTCAACGAAAAATAAATTAAAACTGTAAATAAAAATAAAAAAAGTATACGGAAATCTTTATTTTCCCTTCTATCCTAGGTTCCAAAGAAGTTAAAATATTCAAGGGAATTCGTTCGATAGCTAACGAATCACCTCATTCAGAGACTACTGAAGCAACCATTTCCTGTTTCTAAACACGGAAGAAAATGTTGTTTATTTATTTATCAATAACAAAAAAAAAATCAATTTATTGTTAGTTTTGTGATTTTTAAACCACTTATCTGGGGATGATTGATTTGTTTTTTAAATGTATTATTTGGCCTAATTTATGAACAAACATAACACTGAATAATCATTATTGATTGATTGTAATTAGTCAGATAATTATTTAATTCTCTAATAATTAATCAAAATATAGCTATCCTTAAACTAAAGCCTTTACAACTAATCTGTGGTATATATATTTTATTTTTTTAATTTAAAAACTTGAAGAATCGTGTCAAAATTGGAGGTTTAAAATAAATTCCAATAAATCCCGTCAAATCACCGTTACCCTTCGCCGTAAACCTATAACTTCCTGTCCTACAGTATCCTTTAATAATACCCCACTTATCCCTGTTGAACAAATCCGATACCTTGGACTCTACCTGGACAAACGTCTAACTTGGAATCCTCATACAAGACTTAAACTACAAGAAACCGCTCAACGTTTCCGACTACTCCAGCATTTACTTGACAAACGCTCTTAGCTTTCAATCAATTACAGAAGACTCATATAAATGACTACAATAAGACCTATTTGGATTTACAGAGTTGAGATTTGGAGCTCCACAAAGCCTTCGAATTTCTCACTTATCCAATCATTACAACCCAAAACCCTTTGTAAAATTCTCAATGCTCTTTACTTTGTTACAAATAAAATCATCCATAACGATCTTAATGTTCCTTATGTTTCCGATTTGGCCCAATCCAGATTGTATCCCTATCCTTCCATTATAAACCAGAATTATCCGAACCCTCTCGTTTCTAACCTTGCTTCCTCCTCAATCCCTGATAACACTCCGAGGCGTCTGAAAAGAAGATGACCTCGAGATCTCCTATTTTAAATACATTTTTTTTAGAGTGCTACCAGTGGCTAGTTTCTCAACAAGTGTTTTCATGTTATTATTTTCTGTTATCACATTTACTGAATGTATTTTTTTTTTTCTTAATACAGTTGTAAATATCATAGATAAATAATTTTTTTTTTTTTTTTTTATTGATAAATATTACAATCTGTCTCAATAAAGGACATTTATAATAGAGTTCTGAGAGCACATTCACACAATATTTATAAATTTAAAAAAAATAAATAAATAAATAAAATAAGCTAACTTCAAATAATATAAAGCTACAAAAGAACAAAATAAAATATCACAGTGAGAAAAAAAAAAAAGTAATGAAAATAAACATCTTAAACGCAGGCATACCTATTTACAAGATAAATAATAAAATTTTGAAACCCACGAAAAATAATTTTATTATTAATAAAATATATATTTGTCTAGGTAATCGATCTATTAAACCCAGGCAATGCTAAAAAATCATTAGCTGTCCGGTGGTCGAAAAAATCTCAAAGGTTTTTCGTCGAAAATCTTTTTACTGTAGACTGTGAAGAGCTCGACGATCTGCTAGCAGTTTTAGAAGAAGGTGAGTTATAATTAACTCTCAATTAATCATAATTATAATTTAAATTATAATTAATTAATTTGTTATTGTTATACTTTTAAAGGCATGAGAAACAGAGCATTCGGTTCTCATTCCATGAACGATCATTCTAGTAGGAGTCATACGATTCTTACGGTTTATATAACTTCTGAACAACAGGTAAGGATTCAATTCATTATTTATGCGATAAATATAAAATTATTATACAGTGGCTCACAGTAAAATTGATACACCCCTTAGAAAATTCAAAAAAAAAAATACTTAAATGGTTACAGTAAATAAATAAGACAAGAAACTCTTCAACAGATCTATTTATAAATTCAATTTAAATATAAACAAACTCCATAAAATTAAAATATTTAACAGTGATTATTTAAAAAAAAAATTGTATATTTTTACCACGCAGTCAAAATGTTACACCTCACTTCTTATTAACTTTCAAGTGCTATTAATTTAGTTCAATAAATTGTAAGTAAGCCATTATTTTCTACCACTACTTTCAGTCAATATGTAATGAAGTCGACCATTTTTTTTTTTTTTTTTTTATGATTCCTAGATATTTTTTAGTCTTTTTTGCTAAATATATTAGGATAAATAAATAGGATATTTTCTAGTAATTTTTGTGTTTTCTAATTACTACCTCCAATTTTTTCCAACAGCTGTTCTATTACATTATGATCAGCTGACTGTGGTGTTGTTTTTATAACTTTGGAGGAGTTATAAAGTACACATTCCTTAACTAATATTGCAGAGTGTTTGGAGTCATTATCCTGATAAAAACTAAATTTGTTTTTTAGTCCCAGATTTTCCAAAATTTATTTCAAGTTTCTTATCAAAATGTCTATGTAAACATATTTATTCAATATACCATGCGAATATTTTCACTATAAAGTGAAGATTTCCTATACCAGAAGTCGCCATACACCCCCACACCAAGAAACAGAACATAAAACATAACAGTTGATCCAAAAAAAACACAAATGAAAAATCAAAAAAACTGAACCAAGTGGTATTTCTTTCCATTCATGGAGTTCTGCAGAGACCGGAATAAATGGTAGTCACTTGGAGCTAGGTCTGGTAAATAGGGAGGGTGGGGCAAAAGGTCCCATCCAAGGCTCAATGATTTATTGCGAGTGACCAATGAGGTGTGATGCCTAGCGTTGTCTTGGTGGAACACAACACCCTTCCGATCATTCATAACTCTTCAGGATGTTCTCCAAATTCGATGTTACTATATCCGTTGGAAAGCTGAATCATTGCTCTTCAATGCCGTATGAATGTTTTTTTTTTTTTTATTTAATTCTTGCATAAGAAATTTTAAAAACTCCTTATAGGTTTTTATTTTTTATCTCCATTAGTAGTTTGTTTACGAAGATCCTGTTGATGTCATTTTGTCTAGTTTATGTGGCTCTAAATTTCTTTTAGGTAGCTAAATTCATATTGAATTTATAACATTTTTTGTGATTTTCGAAAAAAAATCATGCGAGGGACCCATAGCCGCGCATGTGCAAATGGTTTTCTACGCTTGTGAGCGACACATTTAGAACCATAGAAATCTCTCGCACTGATTGGTTGCGATTTTGATCAACAATGGCCTTAACATTGCACGTTTCAATTTCATGTGGGCGACCAGACCGTTGAGCATCATTGATGTCAAATCTTAAGGTTAAGGCATCATTCCCATAAACACTGCAAATTTTTCTATGAGCTTCTGCAGCACGCTTACCTTTTTTAAAATAATACAACAAAATATGCTGATAATGAATGATATTTTCTTCCATATTCACAGTGCAATAGCAGCAAACACAATGTTAGTTTCAACAAGAGTTAATAGATATAGTTGTTAACATATTACAAACATGATAAACAATCCACTTTAGGGATTAAAACATCAGATAAGAAATAGACAGAAAAACCGAAAGGACTTATTTGCCAATCCAATATTTCTCACTAAAAAGTATCCAGACTTCTATGTTCTTTTTAAATGAGGTAACTACAAACCAGGACTCTTTTGCACCAAAAAAAAAAAAAGTACTTCATTAAACACAATAATGGATTATTATAAGTTCAGGGATAGATTGATTGATTTGTAGTTATATCTCACTTAACTGGATATTTTTTATATTTATTTAAAATATCAAAAAGTTTTTTTCTGAATTATTCGAAACCTTCGATGGGTCATCTCCATTTACCTATTCAATAGATTTTAAGTTCGTCGATAACAATCATAAATAGAATTGTTTTAATTTATAAAACTCTTATTTTAAAACACTGAGTCTAATATAGTTTTAACATAAATATATCAGGTCGAACTCTTTAAAACACAATTTTTCCCATCTCGATCTGTTCCTTTTTGAAACGACTGTGAAGAATAAAAAAGAGATATGTATGTAATGTGGATAAATATAATAAAAATTAAGTTGTACTTAATGAACTAGTCTGGCGTTCATTTTATCAAAGTATACCAACGAGGTTCTAGTTACCAAAGAGATAATAGCTAAAAAGATCGGTGATACGTTAGTCTCTCATTGGTTGGATCAGTCATTTATTGGTTTGACGGATATGATTATCCACAATACTGTATCGTGACATAAAAGTAAACAGAAAAAACGAAAGAACTTATTTGCCAACCCAATAATATAAATTGTTTATTCAGTAACTTCTATCAATATACAAGTTTATCATTTTGACTGTGAGCCACTGTATATAAGTATATTTAATAGTTCTCATAGAATAATTATTCATATTTTCTATTCATTTCAGATGGAAAACGGTGTATATATTACTAAACAAGGCAAGATAAACTTTGTAGATCTTGCTGGCAGTGAGATGACAAAAAAAACTCACAGTGAGGGAAAAACTCTTGAGGAGGCTAATAATATTAATAAAAGTCTAATGGTCTTAGGTAAGCATATAATATTGTTTATAATAGCTGCAAATTGTCACATAATAGTTTATTATTTTCAAACAGTTATATATCAAATGTAACGCTACTTTTCTCGTCACATAGAAGAAAATAAATAAAAAGTTTTTCCTAAAATTGGCTAGTGTTGCCCAAAATAGGTATTGGTCTTGCATAGTGCAAGACCAAGATCAAGACTGATAAAAAAAAAATCTGGTGCGCGCAACACACAACTTTCACTTACCGATCAACTTTGAATAGAAATTATTTTCTGGCAATGCTGGGCTATTATAAAAATTTTTGAAGTGCATTTTAAACGGAGCTAAAGCTTAAAGCTTACAGATAACAAGTCATTAAGACCATTATAAATACAAAATGTGTATTTAATATGTCGACTACAGGCAATAAAAATCTAGTCACTCCATCTGATTTTATTAACAACCCAACTTTCGTTGCTTTTATAAACCACAGAATGACTAACTCCAATTTCAACATTTTTGAGTGATGTCATTTTGGTAATATTTTTAGTTGCAAAAAAGTTATCTATGAAAACAATGAGTAAGTTGATTCCGGAGGTGGTGATTGCAGTGTTGAAATATAGAACTGAGAATAAAGGTATAAATCTAGGTACTTATTTCTTACTAAAGATGTTGTTAGGAAAGATACTTTATTAAATATCTGTAGAAAAAAGTTTTTTTTAGTCTCAACAATTAAAAAAGTATATTTTAAATTTATCCAAATTTTCGCCTCTTCAGGGAAAAAAACTAGAGGCCATATCTTTCCTCCTAATTATCCGATTTTAACGATTTTGTTTTTGTTTTTTTAGGAAATTCCATAAAATTTAAAAAAAACCATAGAATATCGACAAAAAAGCGTATACTTTTTGAGTTATTCGGAATTTAATTTTACCATTCCTCGTAACTTTTTTTCCAGCTTCTTTTCGTTGAAGTATGTAATATAGATAAATTTAAAGGGTGTCGAGAAAATGTCTTTAGCGAAGTTTCATTGAAATCGATACATTCGTTTAGGCGCTACAGTCTATTGCAACGCAAGTTTTTCTGCATTTTTATTTTTTTTTCTCCTTTATTAACTTATCAAATTATTTCAAAAGTTATATGTAGCATTTTTTCTCTGAATAATGTGAAATGTTTAACATTTTAAAATAAACCATATTAAAGATGTTTTAGAGGAAGACATATATGAACATTGGGCATTTAAGCCCTGTAAAGTTAAATCAACGGGGATAAGACTTAAATGATATTAAAGACAACTTAATAATACAATGATACACCGAGTTTAATCAAAATCGTTAGAGCCGTTTTTGAGAAAATTGTAAAAATGTGTTTCAGCGTTCATATAAAGTGGCACTTCCGGTTAGCCGATTTTAACAAAAAAGTTGCTGTCACATCCGGCCCATATACAAACCTTAAATACTTAATATCAGTTTCGTACTACTTTTCGTTTATGAGCTAGACTGTTAACACACACACACACACACAGACCATTTTGCGACACTTGGTTATTTGGACTCAGGGGACCTCAAAACATGTATTTCCGTTGAAAACTGAGATTCGAAAATTTTCACGATCGCAATACTTACCCTTACTATATATTACATATATACGTAAGTGAAAGTAAAAAACAGGCATCAGTAGTGATATTTTTAAAAAGGTAATGAAATTCCCTACAAAACTATATAAAAATCGTTCCTTTCGGTCAACTATTAACGTTACAGCTAATCAATTTTCAATGTAAGATTACGGGTTCATATCCTGGTGTCAGAAAGGGATGAATGAGAGAAAAAAGATAACTAAGTGAAAGTAAGAAAATCTGTTGCCCGCATCACACAAGCTTCACTATTTCCTCAAATTAAATTAAAGAAATTATTTTTGACAAAATTGGGCTATGGCAAAAAGTTTTTGATCAGCAATATTAGAGGGTATTGAAATTTTTACACTGATCTACCTTAAGCCGGTTTAAATTGCTTTAGTTTATCAAATAAATCGTACTCAGATCTTTTCTTTGATCAATTTTCAGAAAAATAAATCTAATTCAATTTATTTTTCTTTCTTGATGGACTTATGTAAAGATATAAAAGGTTTTCTGAAATCGGTAGAAAAGTCGTGTGAGTGGACACACAAGATTTTTTCATTTCATCGTTAGTATTTTTTATTTTTCTAAGGAATATAGAAAACAATCCTGATTTCTCAGTTGATGTAAGACTTACTAAAACTCAAAAACTATAAGAAAGGTTATCACCTTAACAACAGAACGCATGGAAATTAATTAGAATAACTTATCGTTGCACCAAATCGTCCGATTTCAACGATTCTTTTTTATTTTAGATGATTTCGTGAACTTTTGTATGACAATACAATGTTCAAAAAGGTATATACTTATTGAGTTATTCGGAAATCTCATTTTAACATCTCTCGTTACTTTTCTTCCAACTTATTTTCTGTGAAGTATGTTAATTAAGACATTAAGATGTATTTAAAGGACTTCGAAGAAGAACACTTTAGCGAAGTTTCATATTTTCAATTCAAGTATTAGCAATATTAAAAAGAAATTAATGAGATCAATGTATTTTATAAAATGAAAATAAGGATTTAAAAAAATATTTAAGAAGATGTTGAGGAAATATTTAAAAACGTCAAATAAGTTTTTATTTAAAGTTATTGTAATCTATTTTAGAGTATTTCATATTTAAAAAATAAATAATTCTACTTCGTTGAACTGGGTGGCCAGTTGGCATAGCTCTACTGTAGTAGTTCAGGTATAGCAATCGATTTAAATCGTTCATATCGATTAGTACTCAACGAATTAATTTGACAGCGTAACAATAGCTACAATTCACGGTCAACTTCACGATAAATACAAAAGAATTAAAAGGCTAAAATGCGTTTTATATTATTTTGTGAGATAATCTTCCTTATCCATTAATATTTTTATAAATTAATTTCTACAGTTAGCCCGAATATTTCAACAATATAGGTATCTTTTCTTGTGAGTTATTATTAATTTATATTTTTGTCTGCTCTGTGCAGAAATGGGCCTATTTCTCTATAGTATGTATATAGTATGTGTGTAGTATATAGTATATCTTCTTACATCCAGGTGGAAAAAATAGTCACATCCCCCTAAATTTAAGACAAAACGAGTTATGAAGGAAAAGAATCTTTATTTGCGAATAACTCAAAAAGTATGCATTTTTTTTTTATTGTACCCATGATTAGTTAGAAAGATTGCTAAATTACCTACAAATAAAAAAAATCGTAAAAAACGAACAATTATTAACAAAGATACAGCCCATTACTTTTGGTATAATAATAGTTTCTTCCTCTTTAAAGGCAGTGCATTTACTATACTACCAAAAGTGTTATAACTTCAATATTCTTTTACATATTCACACGAAATTTTGTAAGGATATAGGACCTTATAAAATACACGAATTGATACAAACTGTACCTTCCAAAATAATTTAGAACTCAAGTTATAAAATAAAAACCTGTTAGGAGTTTTTATTTATTTACTTTTATAGACGTGTTAAATCAAGAAGTTATTTATACGGTCTTGAAGAGCGATAATTCAGCTTTCCAACGGTTGTAGAAACATTGAATTAGGATAAAATCCTGAGGAGTTATGAATGTTTTAGTTAACGGCAGGCAAAAACATCATAATGAAAAGTGAAGTCGTTGCCATGACGACTATCTCAGCACAGCTCTTCTATCCTATATATTATTTCTAAAAGGTGTTTTTTTGTCCGTACGCCATAACTTCGTCAATTCTTCATCAAATCCAATGATTGACCACTCATTTTGAAGATATTCTTCTCCTTCACAAGCGAAAAATAGTCCTATCCCTCCAAAATTTCTGTAAAAAGTCATGAAGGAAAAGAAACTTTATTTGCGAATAACTCAAAAAGTATGCATTTTTTTTTATTGTACCCATGATAGTTAGAAAGATTACTAAATTACCTACAAAAAAAAAAAATCGTAAAAAACGAACAATTATTAACAATGATACAGCATATTACTTTTGGTATACTAATAGTTTCTTCCTCTATAAACGTAATGCATTTACTATTCTACCATTTTTTTCTGGCTGATAAATACTTTATTATAGGCATTTTTTTGTTTATACATTTTATATTTTCATAGTTTAGAGAATCCCATGATCGAGGCTTATATTGTATATTACTTTTCAAGTCAGCGTTTAAAAATGGGCCCTAGCAAAGCAATTTATACAAATATTTTTGTCTATTATGTGAAATGGAATATTGTAATCGACCAACGGAAAACAATTAATTCCTCTTTCACATAATACATATGATCTACTAATGTCCATATTGTTTTGCTATTCCTTTTCTAAACAAAATTTTCTGCTAATTATTCGCACGGGGCAACAAGTATATCTACAACAGTAGGAGGTTGAAAGTATATTTATTTTTTATTCGAATGATATAATTTATTAACTACTCGTTTAAATTTAACCAGGGATTCGGCTCAATCGCCATTATTTATTAAAATCAATGACATTTCAGTAAAACCCTGAACTTTTTAGAATATTGATGAGGTTATCAAGCGGAGGTACATAAATCGAAGGGAATATTGAACCGTCCGGTAAGTAGTATTAATTATTTTAAGTTTGATGTAATTAGTTAATGATAGTAATATGGCAGGTGACGTAGAAAGCCAAGGTGAAGTTAAATAAACCAATTGATCTCCTTTTAATCGTATTATCGATATTTAATTATGTAATTGTAATCCGTGCATATATTATTACAGTAAGGCTCGAAATCGGTTTTGTACCAAATATAAGCTCCTGTCATGCTCAAATACCATGAATGGGGTACCGTTGGATCCAGAATTTCACGGGAGGTTAGCGAATCGTATTCTCCACTTTTGTTTTTTTTTCTAAAATAAATAAAGTCGATACAAACATTTTCCTAGGCTTCAATACTGGAATGGTGGTAGGTCTGTAGATCGATAGAGAACAAATTG